AATGAACCAGTAATAGGAGAGGGGCTAAATGACCCGAGTCATAGTAGCAGGGGCTAAATGAACCAGTAATAGGAGAGGGGCTAAATGACCCGAGTCATAGTAGCAGGGGCTAAATGAACCAGTAATAGGAGAGGGGCTAAATGACCCGAGTCATAGTAGCAGGGGCTAAATGAACCAGTAATAGGAGAGGGGCTAAATGACCCGAGTCATATGACTGACACAATACTGGCTATTACAAAAGAACACGTGATTAGATGACGTTCGTCTCCGAATGCCGCATTCCAACCCCTTATGCACCACATGTCGTCGCCGTCGCCCACTACTACACCGGTTACACAAGTTGACACCGCCATCACCAAATCTCACATGAACCCTCCACCCCTTTCCACCCACCCACAGACCCTCTCTGCTATGACGTGACCAAAAAACATCCAATATTGAACATCAAACATCCTTTACAAAAAGAAATATTTATTTTACTTAGCCGTGTCAACATTTTTAAAATTCATTTTTTTGTGTGTGTGCTAGACTCTATTTACCATCACTCCACAAAGGATTTGATGGAATACCACATTTTCTAAATGTCAGCTAGTCTTAGAGGAAACGTTGACACAATAGATTGTAGGATCGTCTTGAAGAAGAAGTGCTTGAAAAGACAGTCAAAATCTAAAACTCAACCTTTAAAGACGTCAATCAAAAACCTGAATCCCAAGACGTTTGAAGACTTCAATCAAAACCGTGTATCACAAGACGTTTGAAGATGTCAATCAAAAACGTGTTTTATAAAACATGTCATTTACTCCGAGTCCTATACAGGTTGTCTTATACAAGCTATCCTATAAAAGATGTCATGTATTTCCATACAAGCTGTCCTTTATACAATGTGTTTGTATAAAACATATCATTTACTGTAAAGGGGTCGTCACACTCTTAGGGAGGAAGGGGGGGGTCCGTAATTTTGTGACGGTGTGTGATGAGAGGGAGGGGGAGGGTCAGATGGTGTGACGTGACACTTTTGCATTATAAAAAAGCAATGTTAGAAAACGAATTTCAGCCGTTATTTCGTGTTTTAGAAAACTTAATACATTGTAATAGGAATTGATTAAAATACTCTATGTTGACAGAGTTCAGACAAGAATTTGGAAAAATATCGTATTTTAACAAAAATTCAACTGTAATTTTGAGAGGGGGGGGGGTACAGGCTGAGGTCTGACGTTATTTTAGGGGAGGGGGAGTGGCTTTTTGTGACGATGTGTGACGGGGGGGGGGGGGGGAAGGTAAAAATCGTCAAACAAAGCCTGACGTCATTTATGGATGACCTCTAAGTCATATATAAGATGTCTTATACACGATATCCTATAAAATGTCATATGGTTCTATACAAAGAGTCATTTATAAAACGTCTGAAGCTTTATGACTTATCTAATATCTTCAATGCAGATGTCCTACTATAAATGTCCTTACTATCTCATTTTAAACCACCTATCTTTTTAATTCTGTGTATACTAAGACCAGCGCCACGTCAACTTTTTTTCTCTAGAATTTTATTTTTTTCCCAGAAAATACGCAAGACATCATACACATAAACGTCTGTTCACGTGACAATAAAAACTATAAATTGTTAACACTATCAATAAACAATTAGACTAGTTCGATACGTGACCACCTAATTTTTTTTACACACGAGTTGTCTCCCATTTTTAAATTCTCACCTAGAATATTATATCTTCCATGTTCCTTTCATTAATTTAAGAAAAATCGAATTTTAATAGATCGCCTCTTTCTTAACAATTGGTTAAATGTGATTGCTAAAACAATCTGTTTTAATTAGTTTATCGTCATAAAAGTAAGACACAATTTTTTTAGTAAAATACATACATAATTTATTTTAATTAATTTAACTGTAGGAAAAAAAATGCAATTCAAAGACTAAATTTGACTTTTATACATCGGTTAAGTTTTTACTTAGTTAAATCAAGTAACCTTACCTTCCTAGATAGGATGGTCGACTCAACCCCCCCCCTTCCCCACATGTTAACAGATACTATATTTTTGTTTGACACAGAGAGTTGACCATTCATATTTAATTTCCTTAACCCCATTGTTACGTTTATATTGTTATTGTTTTAGTTCGTCAGAGTAAACTAAACCTATTCGCGTTTACTTATTGCCTTTTTCTTGTGAATACAAATGTTTATAGACACGATACATAGCAAGGCAGCATTGAGACTAACATGATGAATTGAGAGCTTTGTATTGCAGGTTGGATGATATGAGCATAGTTAGTCTGCCCTACACGTCACTTGACTTAGTCTTTCATATCAAGTTTTGTCAAGCTTTCGTGATAAGCATTACAATCAAACACCCCAATCTCCACGCCCCTCCCCAAACTTACCAATCCAATACAGGCCCCTAAGGTATGGTAATCTACTACAGAAGGTTGGCACATTTCGTGTAGACCTTACAGTTTGTCTGTAGTACCTCTACAACTATAGACCTTTTAACTGTAGTCTATAGCGATAGACCTTTTAACTGTACTCTATATCTATAGACCTTTTAACTCTACTATATAGCTATAGACTTTTTAACTGTACTCTATAGCTATAGACCTATTAACTGTATAAACTCTGTAGTTCTTTTAACTGTAGCGCCTCTATAGTTATAGACCTTTTAACAGTACTCTATAGTTATATGCTTTTTAATTGTAGAAACTCACTAGCTATAGACATTATAATTTTAGAAACTCCATATTTATAGATATTTTAACTGAAGAAACTCTATATATACAGACACTAAAACTGGACTTTTTCTTTTATTGAACTTAAAACTTGACTGTAAAACCTATACATTTATAGACTCCTAATTCGACTGTAAAACCTACATTTATGAACCTTAAAATTTGACTTTAGAACCTCTATGATCACAGACGTGCTAGCTGGACTGACACGACCTTATACATTGACTAGACAAACAGTAAAACCTTTATATTTATCAGCTAACAGACAATTTCATGAAGTGCGTATGAATTCTTTTTATCACGAACTTTAATACACTCTACACACAAAGCCCAACCCTAACTCCTACACCCCCTACCCCTCATCTTTCCACAAAACGAATTCACTCCCTTTGATTTATTTACCTATCGCACCATATTTACACATAAAATGGCATTTAAATGTCAATGGCGATATTCCCAGTATGAAGTTCTAATTTTTTTTTAAACTTTGCTTTTCTTATACCTTATATTCAGCAGTCTGCACTCATGCTAAAGGGAACTCTCTTGTATATCGGGTAAATAGAGACACGATCACATTAAAGTGCGCATATTAAATTACGCGTTGATTCTTTTAGAAATTATATCAGCACTTCATGCGAAGTCCATACTTACAAAAGCTTTGTGTATGTCATTTTCTAGGGGGAAAATTTCTAAATGTAAATTTTGAATATGAAAAAATTGTTAAAAAATTGATTCATGAATAATGTGTTACACATACTCAACTTACATCGACTGAATGTAATAGAATCGTAATTTGAATCATTTTTCTCATACACTAACGGTTGTAGAGAATCGTAATGTGAATTCATACACTAACGGTAGTAGAGAATCGTAATGTGAATTCATACACTAACGGTAGTAGAGAATCGTAATGTGAATTCATACACTAAAGGTAGTAGAGAATCGTAATGTGAATTCATACACTAAAGGTAGTAGAGAATCGTAATGTGAATTCATACACTAACGGTAGTAGAGAATCGTAATGTGAATTCATACACTAAAGGTAGTAGAGAATCGTAATGTGAATTCATACACTAACGGTAGTAGAGAATCGTAATGTGAATTCATACACTAAAGGTAGTAGAGAATCGTAATGTGAATTCATACACTAAAGGTAGTAGAGAATCGTAATGTGAATTCATACACTAACGGTAGTAGAGAATCGTAATGTGAATCAGCTCCAACGTCTATTAAATAGTGTAGAGAATCGTGATGTCTCCTCATCCTGTTTATAAATTTATTCCCCTGACCATGTATCCCCCCTGTCCTAATGTTAGTTTCTGACATAATCAGTTTAATACGACTTTACTTATCTCCCATGTGTAATATAGATGAATGTAAGGGGAAATAATTCTATATACCTCTCCCAGTGTCTCCTCTGAATGGAGGAGATGCCGTATAAAGTTTTAACTAATAATCATTCGTAAAACATTTCTAAACATTATATTAAATAACTTGAGGAAGAAAAAAAGATTAAAATGTGAATATTCATTTAGACTTTACTATAAAAAATATAATCCTAAAATAAAATACCACACATTTAAATTGGTACAACTTTTTACCATTAAAATTTAAACATTTTAATTTGTGATTGCTATTTAGTATTTGGATCCTTTGAGCTGTTCAACCACTGATTATAATTAGTTCATGCAAGATAGTAACATGAAAATTATCATCCTTTCAACTAGTCCAGGGGTCGGCAACCTGCGGCTCGCGAGCCGCATGCGGCTCTTTTGATATCAAGATGCGGCTCTCCAGATCCTTGCATAAATACTATTAATCTTAATAAAAAATATAAAAAATTTGAAATAAAAAAATGTTAGTGGCTCTTTAAAACCAGGAAAATTTTGAAAATTGTAACTTTTGGCTCTTCCGCTTCAAAAGGTTGCCGACCCCTGAACTAGTCAACTTAATTTGTTGAAAAAAAATAATTAGTTTAGTTTCGACGTAAGGACATGCCGACTGGCTCGGTAAAGCGGGATTTACATAAGAGAGAACAGGGGCGATAACGGGTGATAAACTAATTCTTATGTGTCGTGTCCCTTGCCCCCTTTCTGCGACTTCTTAAGTCAATAATTCCAGTCTTTTTTTTTTTTGGTGGGGGGAGGGGGGGGGGGGGTGGGGGGGGGGGGGAAGAAACATGGAATTATTTACCTTGTCATTCTAAGCGAATTTCACTAAAAAAATTATCTCACCATTAACGAATCCGTTCTGTAACCTTCAGTCCAGTATAGAGCGTTGTGACGGTGACCGCTGTACCATGTTACCCCACCCCTGTAGAGGCCTGAGGCTGTACCACATCCTGTGTTTGTGTGCTGCCGTGTTGTGCGGGGTCCGTGCCGACTTCAGCCTAACCATCCTACACACCAATGACGTGCACTCGAGGATTGAAGAGACAGATAAGTGAGTTACATTTTTTTAATTCACGAGTTACCTTTCCTTTTGAAGTTTTTTTTTTAGAGATTATCTACCTTGGTTCAATGTTTTGACAAGAACGTCGATTTGTTTTATTTATTTGTAGTAAACAACGCAAAGAAAAAAAAAATGAAGTAAAGATTGTTTATGAGAACTTGATAGACTTACTATTATCTTTAGACATATGCTCGGATTAAATATACAATAAAATCTACAAGTTAAGCTTTAAAATAAATATGGGGTTCAGTTTTTCTTGACTATTTTCTTTAGCTTCGATGCATTTATAAATAAAAGAAGATTTTTTTTCTCATGAAGTTCTTTTAAAAGAGTTAGTATTGTTCGCGTGGGTCATCGTGGTCTTGAGTTCGGTTCCAACCCAAGCCAGTAGTTTGTCCCAGCTTTCATATGAACCTGAGATTATTAAAGATGTCCGGGCATCTTATAATGCTGATCTCATAATCATCGTCTTTTTCCCTAACCGCCTAATTTTCCCTAACGTAAGTTCGTGAGTTAGGGACCCATTAGAGCTGGGTGGACTCTGGGACGTTTTACCGTGCTGAACCCGGATTCGAACTCGAGACTTTCGGGTAAACAGTTTAGCGCCCTACTGCTAGGCCACGCCGTCTGATAATACTGCTCTCATAATGCCAAGCTTCAAACAGACGAAATTTAAGTCATCTGTGCTATGGACTATCAGCTCTAAACGTGTATTTTACTTTTTTTTGTACAATTTTCAAGTAATTTTCTTGATTTAGCAAACACTACTAATAAACTTTCCTCAAAACTGTTAGCTCTACAATCACACATTCGATGTCGATCAAACTATTAGATCCAAAAACTATTATATCATAACTCTATTAAATCCTAAATCTGTCACATACAAAGTTAGTTACATACTCTATTTTATAAGAAACTCTTTTCCATAAAAAGTTTACTTTATTCAAACTCTATTCCCTCTAAATGCAGTTTCATCCAAACTCTACTCCACCTATCACACACCAACTATTTTACCCCCACAGAAACAGCGCCCCCTGTTCACAAGTCCTACAGAACGAGGGAAAATGTTTTGGCGGTGCCGCCAGGATTCGAACCATGGTAGCTAAGCGTTATTTTTTTTTTTTAATTTTTTATCCATTGCACAAATTGTAGTGTTGAAAGTTGTTTGTAATAGAACTTTTAAAAGTATATTTAAAAAATCTTGTTTTAAAATCGTTATAATATTATGACACGTTTCATAATGATAATAAACTAAGATCAAGAACTTTATTTTTTTTAAAGAATTATTTCGCATATTACAAACTATCAAAGGAATTACATTTTATTGATAGTAATTTAAGTAGATTTAACTTCAGTTCTCTGATGAAGATATGAATAGTTTTAAAATATTTTTTTTTTTAAATTGCATTAAAATTTGTTAAATATAGGGCTAATTCCTAGTGTTAGTATCATGCTATGATTAGTGTGAGAGTTGGTGTATTTTTCAATGGATTGGAAAGGTCAGGTTGTGGGTGAAGATAAAGAAAACTAAACGACTTCTCTTCCAACAGGTGAAGAGGAAAAGGGCCGAGCATAACAACACGATACTTCTGGACGCCGGAGACCAGTTCCAGGGAACTCTGTGGTTCTACCAGTTTGGTGGAATAGTCAGCGCTCAGTTCATGAACCTTATTGGATACAACGCCATGGTGAGTCGAAAGATAATCTCTTCATTATCAGGTTTAGTGAAGAATGTGAGATAATTTGATACAACCATATGCCCGTCATTACATCCATATGCCATTCGATGCACTCATATGCCCGTCGTAACAACCATGTATGCCAGTCAATACAACCACATGTCCATCATCAAAACCATATGCCCGTCATTACATCCATATGCCCGTCATTACATCCATGTGCCCGTCGTTACAACCATATGCCCGTCATCACCACTATTATACGTCCTGTTAAAACCCCCACATTAGTCCTTTTTAGAGCATTAAAATTCATATTTTTTTCTGGACAAAACGAAAGATAGCATTTCAGATATTCTGTCCTGAGGTATTATTGCACCAGAGGGGACGGCGTGGTCGAGTCGGTAAAGCTCATGGTTGCTATACCGAAAAGTCTTGAGTTCGAACCCTCGGGCAGATGAGGCTGGGTACAGCCACTTTTCTAGGGGAGACAACTCCAAAATCAAACAACAAAGAAGCAAATCCAAAAAGAAAAGCAGGCTGAAATCGGAGTCAATGGCCTTAATGGCGCAGTTGACACGTATCCTTAATTGTGATGGAGGCTTGGTCGAGTCGTCAAAAGCTAATGGTTGATAAATTCGAAAAAAAAAGTCTCGAGTTCAACCCTCTGGCAGATAAGACTCGATCCCTTCCAACACTAAAAATTAAGAACGAAGAAGAAGAAAAAAGAAGATTGCAACAGACAAAATTGTCCTAATATATTGTTCACAAGACATATATCTTGATGTAATTTGTCTCGATATATTTTTCTCAAGGCAATTAGTCCTAGGATATTCCGCCCTTAGATATTTCATTAAAAGACAATTTATCCTTGGTAACTAGAATTTTTGTCCTGAGTTTTATACTCTGTGATATATTTGGAAGCTTAGCTCAGGATGAACTATTTTGATTAGAAAATAATGCCGTAAACTTGCTTATTTATAAATAAATAAAAATTAAAAACAAACAAGCAGTGCACAATCACAAAATTTTAGTATGCCTGGCCTAATCTACCGAAGGTGATTTTAATGGTACCAAAATCTTAACACTGTCGTAGATCGGATAAAGTGCCGTGAGGTTGTGCACATTTTCCACTGCACAATATCATTAAATGTTCTACCCACCCCTATCTCGTTTAAGGTTATAAAATAGGTGTTTAAAAGAATATACATTTTTCTGATTGAAGTGAGTTTGAAACATAAAATTGGGATTAAACTGTTACGTATTTAAAAAAAAATTCAGGCTGTTGGAAACCATGAATTCGACAAAGGTGTGATGGGATTAGCTCCCTTCGCCATGAACTTGACCTTCCCCTTGCTGTCCAGCAACATGATCCTGGACAAGACGCCCGAGCTGCAAAAGTTCATCAAGAAATCGGCCGTGGTCATTGTCGGCGGTCAGAGAATCGGCGTTGTGGGGTACACGACGCTGGAGACCGCCTACATTTCTAACCCAGGTTAGGAACGCCTATGTCGTCAGGCTAGTCCTGGTTGTTGTGTAAAGTTGAAGGGAAATACCAGGGGCGAGGGTTGGGATTTACTATCGGGGACAAACTGGGGGTTGGGAGGGGGGGGAGGGAGGGTTGAAGCGCTGAAAATGAATGTAAAAAAATGACCTTTACAATGAAGCCGATATAACCATATAACCGATAACCATATCGGGTTCGGGTTCCGAACCCAATTGGGTTCTGAACCCGTAAATCACGGGATAAATGTTATATCCTCCACTCATCCACGACGTCACATACCTATTTGAAAAAAAAAAAAGTGTCTTACGGGACGAGCCTAGTCCCCCGAGTTCACGGGCAGCGCGCTACTGAACATGGGTGTTGACAAAAACTAAACAAGGTGGCTTTATTGGCTGGAAAAAACAGTGGCACTGTACAAGTGTAAAGTTGTTTACGTATTCTACTGTTGATAAGATCATCTATCTATATATATAATTCTCTTCTGGGAGCCGTTAGAAAACAAGCTGCAAGCGCCTCCTCTCTTTCTCTCTATCACTATCACTACCACCCCCACCCCACCCCCACATTCCGGTGAGTTGTGGTCACGCTAAATGTTTACAAAGCTAAATGTTTACAAATCGTAGAGCCGTACAGCCGGGTTTCTATTAGGGGCAGATAATTTAGTTCGATTTTAAACTTACAGGAGGTAACTAAGAAATAACTAAGAGGAGACTACTTTCACGGGGGGGGGGGGGGTTGTAGGGTCGGGGTGAGGGGAAAGGCGGGGGAGGGGTAGTGTTTTAAAGCAAATATTTTCAGTGGCAGCATTGGTACTGTCGAATTTACAAATTATGAATTACTGAAGAGTAGAAAATAAAACAACTAAATAGCGGCGTATGATACGCCGCGGGTCGGTTCGTGTTTAATATTATGGGTATATTAAGGATCGCTGCAAGTGTTAGGACCAGGGCTAGGATTCTAGTTACAGTTGTGCGATTCGCCGGCGTTTTGGGAGAAACCGAACACGTTTAATTAATTAATTAATTAATGTAGGAGTATATTAATTAAATTAATTGGTAAAGCAATATAATGTTTTATTATTTTAATTAATTGGTGTACAATTTATACAATGTTATAGTATATTAATTAATTGGTGTAAGAAACGTTTTGTTCTTAAGATATTTGGCATGCGCTGAGATCATTGTCCGTTATATATATATATATATATATATATATATATATATATATATATATCTATAATATAAGCGGGCTGTGCTTGTCCTTCCTTCCTTCCGTCCGTCCGTCCGTCCGTCCGTCATCGCTATAGATTTTGGGACTATAAAAGTAAACTACGCACCATGCTGTGCTTTTCAGTGCACCGCAGTGTCTTATTATAAGTAATAGAGTAGGGTTTGTTTATATAGCGGCATAGAGCTATTTTATAATTGCCACGGTTTTTACTCTTTCGCATAACGTCAAGAAAATATTAAATACACGCAAACTGCTAAAACGTATTAAAAAGATTAATGTCAAATATCATTTTCGTTTAGGCTCCCAGAAAAAGTGGATACATTTTAATAACATAATAACAGCAGGGTAGAAAAATCAAATTAATTTAACTCTTTTCTAATTTTGACAAAGGAGGTAATTTAAAAATACATTAAACTCACGCTAATAAAAAATGTGAATGCAAATATACGTTCGTCATAGAAGGAATTAGTGTTGCAATAATATAATTAGCAAAATGTGAATGCAAATTATTCGGATGTGTAAGAGGAAATTATTGGTAGAAAATTATAATTAGCATGGATTGATAAAAGGCAATCTTTTATTTATTTTATTCACTGAATGTAGGCCCTACTGTTTATTACTTATAATTTTTAAACAACTATTCAGCACTATTATAGGCGCGTCATCACGTTCATTAGGTGCGCAATGGTTTTAGTTATGAAACTCAATTGTAAATTTTTAAAATTTAAAGTACTGGGAAAAAAAATGCGTGAATGGATAAAGTGAAATATTGTAGGTAAAACACGGATATTATAGATACTGCCTATTATTTATACAGCTTTCTAATTATTATTCTATCTTTCGGGTTTTATAGGAGAGGCGTAGCGAGGGGGGGGGGGCATATGTCCCCGGGTGCCGACCTTAGGGGGCGTCAAAGTGGGTTGGAAAAAATGTGCGAGGGGGGGGGGGGGGTGGTTGAAATCGAAAGTTTTAGGGAGGGGGGGGAAGGGGTGCAAATCGAAAGTTTGAGGGGGGTGCAAATCACCGGAAAGGGCGCGATTTGGCGCTACGGGCTAGATTGTGAGCAATATGCCTTTATGATTGCATTTAAATTGTGTTTATGTTATGAGTGTTGTGTTTGTTTTTTCGTTGTTTTTTTTTGCGTTCGTTTGTGTTGTGTTTAGTTTTGTTCTGTTCCCAAGTTGGTACATTTAAAAAAGATTTACCGTGGCGGAGCACGGGATGCAGCTAGTATATATATATATATATATATATATATATATATATATATATATATATATATATATATATATATATATATATATATATATATATATATATATACATATATATATATATATATATATATATATATATATATATATGGGGTTGGATGGGTGGGTTTGTGACTGTGTGTATTATATTTTAGATTTTTTTCGTTGTTTAGACACTTCAGCGATGTCTTATTCTGCCGATTGATTACAGGGACTGTAAAGTTTTCCGATGAGCTGGTCGCCGTACAGAGGGAGATCGATGCCCTAGTGGCCATTGGAGTCAACAAGATCATCGCCCTAGGCCACTCTGGGTACGCTATAGATCTGGACCTGGCTCATCGCTTGACCGATGTGGACATCATTGTGGGCGGACACACCAACACTTTCTTATACAATGGTAAGCTCAATACAACCAATACTTTCTTATACAATGGTAAACTCAAAACAACTAACGCTTTCTTATACAATTGTAAACTCAAAACAACTTACACTTTCTTATACAATGGTCAACTCAATACAACTAACACTGTCTTATACAATGGTAAACTCAATACAACTAACACTTTCTTATACAATGGTAAACTCAAAACAACCAACACTTTCTTATACAATGGTAAACTCAATACAACCAACACTTTCTTAAACACTGGTAAAATCAAAACAACTAACGCTTTCTTATACAGTGGTAAACTCAAAACAACTAACACTTTCTTATACAATAGTAAACTCAAAACAACCAACACTTTCTTATACAATGGTAATCTCAATACAAGCAACACTATTTTATACAATGGTAATATAAATACAACTAACGCTTTCTTATACAATGGTAAACTCAAAACAACTATCACTTTCTTATACAATGGTCAACTCAATACAATCAACACTTTCTTTTACAATGGTAAACTCAAAACAACTAACACTTTCTTATACAATGGTAAACTCAATACAACCAACACTTTCTTTTACAATGGCAAACTCAAAACAACTAACACTTTCTTATACAATGGTAAACTCAAAACAACCAACGCTTTCTTATACAATGGTAAACTCAATACAACTGACATTTTCTTATACAATGGTAAACTCAAAACAAGCAACACTCTTATACAATGGTAAACTCAATACAACCAACACTTTCTTATACAATGGTAAACTCAAAACAAACAACACTTTCTTATACAATGGTAAACTCAAAACAAACAACACTTTCGTATACAATGGTAAACTCAAAACAAACAACACTTTCGTATACAGTAGTAAACTCAAAACAACCAATACGTTCTTATATGTTGGCTAAAATAACCAATTATTTCATACACAACGACAAAAACTATCGACTCATACATACTCAGTTTGATTTTAAATATAGCTAGTTAAAAAGAAGTTGCGAAAGTATAATATGCACCAATGCATTTTATTTTTCTAGTAATCGACATGAGCTTGAGTTTTAATCATAATCCTCGACACATACCTGAGTCCTAACTTTTAAATCTGATCTTAATCCTTACTTTAACTAAGATACCTAACACCGACCGTTTTCTGTCTTAGCAAAATAGATGGTCTTCTAATAAGAACAAATATACTTTGTACTTTATTACTTAAAAAGGTTCAATTAAGATTTGTAGGCCTATATCATGTATCAATCTTACACCCACGCCTCCCTCCCCCATCTTAGTACAACGTTGAGTCATTGTCCAATGTGTTGCAGGTACCAGCCCGTCCACGGAGAAGATTGAGGGGATGTACCCGACGGTGGTAGAGTCAATCAGCGGGGGTAGGGTACTTGTCATACAAGATTACGCTTATGGCAAATATCTAGGGGAGCTAAATGTGGTCTTTGATGACGCCGGGAGAGTCAAATCATGGACGGGAAATCCAATTTTGTTGGATAACTCAGTCCCGAAAGGTGAGAAACTTTGAGTTCTGTCTCTATCTCTTTTTATTTCTTCTATCTCTTTTTCTTTCTCGTTTTCTTCTCTTTTTCTTTCTCTTTTTCTATCTGTTTCTGTTTCTCTCTCTCTCTCTCTCTCTCTCTCTCTCTCTCTCTCTCTCTCTCTCTCTCTCTCTCTCTCTCTCTCGCTTCATATATATATATATATATATATATAAACGTCCATAAATATTGATTTAAATATACAAGTAAAAACACATACACAGATACATTAAAAAGTTAAATTTTTAATTACAATTGCAATAAGTGTTCTTTTTTGTTTCCTTTAACAAGTAAAAGTAGTAAAGTTCCCATTTCGAGCTAGACAGTCATTAGGGCAAAAGAAGTAGAGTTCACTTTTCTTTAAACGAGACGCACTCAAATGTCACGTTTTTCTTGTAGTATTAACACCAAATTTTCCCAAATTACACCCAGTTTATCGTCTTGAGACTTTGCCTCTACCTCTATTAGTGTTGTTTGTTTATCTGTCCAGATAATGAGACAGCCGCGTTGGTGGATAGCTATCTGCCACAGATCGACCAGATAAAGAAGAATGTCGTTGGTCAGACCTACGTCAGCTTGTTAGCTGATAGGATTGTCTGCAGAACAACCGAGTGCAACTTGGGTAACTTCCCTTTGTTGTTATGTTTGCAAATGGCAATATGATTTTGTTGTGACTTTTCTCCGGAATACAACTAATTTATACATTTTTTATAAGATCTAAACATTTTATGTAAAATTATTCACAGTTTAAAGATTTTTATGTTTAGAACAAAGCAACGATGCACAAAAAATTTTATATTTATTTTGTAAGTACTGTGTTTGTAGGATAAGTCCCTAAATTTAAGCATTGTAAACAGAAGTTGAGTTACAAACATTTTGTTTGTATCTGTCCCTAAAGTAGACTTATGTACACACCTGAATTTCGTACCTGCCCTTAAAGCTACTTTTGTACACAATTGTGCTTGTACCTGTCGCTAAAATTGACTTATGTACACTCCTTCATTTTGTACCTGTCTCTAATGTAGACTTTAGTACACATCCGTTTTTTTACCTGTCCTTTAAATTGACTTTTAACACACCTGTACGTAGTGTCCACTGCTGTACCCACCTGTGTTTGTACCTTCACCTGACCTCTATTCTGACCCCCCCCCCCCAGGTAACCTGGTGACCGACGCCATTGTCTACCACAACCTACGTAAGACCAACACCAGCTGGAGCGACGCGGGGATGGCCGTGGTGAATGCGGGGAGTTTTAGGGCATCAATCAACATAGGTAACTAATCTTTACCTGTGCTGAACTCTCCACTGATATACATCTACTCTGAATATTTTTCTTACCTGGGGAAAACTGTGTGTCAGAAAAGAATTTTAAAAATGTGAAGCATGCACTGTAATTTTTTTAGTAGTAGGAAACTTCTTCTACGTAAGCTTAGTAAAATCCTACTTGTTACTTTAGGAACTCAAATTAATACTTTCCCTACAAAGAATCTTATTTCGGACACAATATATGTTGTTCTTGCATCTATGTAGCATGTATAAGATGCTGATCTGTATCGCCTATGTGTAATTTTGATCTTTATAACAATGCTGTCCATATGTATAACGTAATTTCGATCCCGATCTGTATTATAGCCTATGTGTTGTTATTATAAGTAGGGCCTATAGTATACGTCATCTTGACATGTATATCCTATGTGATCTTACCACGTTTATAGATCGTGATATAAAACACATGTGTGATCTTGACCTGCAGGCAACATCACCACAGAGAACGTCATCTTTGTCCAGCCATTCCGTAACGAGGTGGACATCATAGAAATACTGGGTCAGACCCTGGTGGACATGTTCGAGTTTTGTGCTGAGAAATGGACCAAGAGGGCGGACGACGCTTTCGGTGGTTTTCTGCAAGTTTCAGGTGAGTCAAGTTTTTTTTTTGTTCCAGCTAATTATTTTTGGTTTACCCACTGGCTCACTCAGTCTCACCTAAAGTCTCACCTAAATTATCACTAAAGTCTCACTCAAATTCTCACCTGGCTCACCCATTGGCTCACTAAAAGCCTCACCTAAAGTCTCACGTAAAGTCTCACCTAAAGTCTCACCTAAAGTCTCACTAAAGTCTCACTCAAATTCTCACCCGGCTCACCCATTGGCTCACTCAAAGCCTCACCTATTGTCTCACGTAAAGTCTCACCTAAAGTCTCACCTAAAGTTTCACTAAAAGTCTGACCCGTTACCTCGCCTGCCATCTCTTCTAACGTCTCACCCATCCCACATCTCCCCCCACAGGCATACAGGTGACCTATGACCTGAGCCGCCCCGTGGGCCAGAGAGTGCACGAGGTCCTGGTCGTGTGCACCGAGTGCACCATCCCTAAGCTGGAGCCGCTGGAGGTCAACAAGAAATACAAGTTGCTGACCAGCAGTTACATCATCAACGGTGGGGACGGCTACAGTATGCTGCCTGGTAAAATCTTGAACAGGATCCCTATAGGTGAGGTGAAAGACGCTGTATACATAGTCTTCGTTTGTAGTACACTATCTTTGTCTGTTGTACACACACGTACCCAGTCTTGGTATTTGTACATGATCGTCATCTGTTGTATATCTTCATCTTTGTACACAAATATACAGTCTTTAATCCTGTTGTACACCATCTTTGTCTATGGTATATAATTTGTGTCTGTTGTAAATAAATATTCATCTTTTGTACACACACGTATACAATCTTTGTATATTGTACACAGTCTTCGTCTGTTGTATAACATTTTCATTTTTTGTACACAAATGGAAACAATCTTTGTATAGTGTACACGATCTTCGTCGTTTGTACACAATCTTCGTCTTTTGTACACATATGTACACAATATTTGGATATTATACGCGACCTTCATCTGTTATACACAATTCGTGTAATATTTTGTAAATAAATGTACACAATTTTTGTATATTATACAATATTTTTGACCGTTGTACGCAATATTTGTTTTTGTCTGAAATCGTCTTTTAGTATGAAATCGCAAACTATATTTGTTGTACATAAACATTTGTCTGCTTTGCTCAAACTTCGCTTGTTGAAAACAACCGTCATCTGATGTACACAATCCTATTTTGAAGGCTGTACATAATCTTCGTCTTTTGTACAAAATCCTCTATCATTAACTGTACACAATCTCGTACACTTATACCTTATCCCTTTCCATTAATTTTATTTGATTTTTTGAACATCCAGGTGACCTAGACACCGACATATTCCTCGACTACGTCCAGAAGTTCAGCCCGATTACCATCGGCCTCCAGGGCAGGATCCGCCATCTTGCTGACGTCATTGATGAAACCTACTGCCCGTCCTCCCATAACGGCGTCTCAGTCCCCATGTACTCCCTAAGTTTAACTGTCACCGCCTTCCTTACATCGCTGTTGTATTCTATGTTGGTCTGTTGATGCTAAACTTTATGACGGTCTTACGGTTATAAATAAGCAGCGATTCTTTCAGGCATCTCTTCAAGGGGATAGGGAGGGGGGGATATATATAATGTATGGAAATTACTTTTACCATTAAGTCCCCCCCTCCCCCCGGAGCAAAATGACTGAAAAAAAAACACTATAATGAGAGCAATTAAATCACTAATCAGCAATATCTATAAATTAGAGAAAAGTCTATGATGTTGCCCTCTTTCTTATTTTTAAAAATTTTAATATGCAATATGCTTTACGAATGTTCAACCAAATTTTAAGTAGCTTGATTAAAGTAATTTTAATAAAAATGGTTAACACATTTAGAAACAGATTTATTCTTTAAGTAACTCTGTTATCGGCTTTTCAAGTTATTCTTTTAAATCGAAATCGATGCGGACTGTCACCAATCTCTTTCTGACAGAGTATCGATCTATATCAAACCCGGTGTCTCGATAAATACAACCTGGACATAACCCCCCCACCCCCACCCCCCCCCCCCCTCACACACACATACATACAAATACACACACACACACACCTTCAGCCCCACTCATAAAATATCCTGGACAAAACAAAAACGAAAATCGACTTACACCATCAAAAACAAATCCATCGCTACTATTTTTCAGCATCATTAATTTATATTCTTAAAAGTCTGTGTCGGTTTAACTTTATTAAAACCCGAAATCCATATTTTTTAAAATCATCAATTTTATGTGTTATCATTCAATACCCATGCACTTTTAGCATATCGTTGGTAAACAAAGAGATTGTCTATTATGCCATTTTAAGTTTTTAAAATCATAAACTTTATATTTTGGTTGTATGTTTTCTTAGTCAGCCTTCAATGTAGCAGCTACCATCAAGCTATTGTCGACTATTCTTCTTGTTGTTGTTTTTTTTTGTAAATATATAAATGAACAGAAATAATTGTATAAACTGCAAGATGAAAAGATACATTTTCCAATCCTTGTCGAAAATAACATTAAAGAAACTTTTTTTTCTTTTACAATAAAAACAACGCAGTGTTATTTATTGTACACGGCGAGGAAAGCCAAAATAACCAAGATTATGAATTTTTAAAATACTTTTTAAAAACCTTTATTTCAATGTAAATGATTATCGCATTGTATTTACCATGAATAGGGTCGGGTGTAGATTTTTAGCATGTTGTTATATTTTTTACTGGATGGTTTTGTTTTGTTATTAAATACTTTTTAGAACTGTTTTTATTTAACAACACTGTTGACATCATGAACGATTTGAATGAATAGGTTAACATAACTTTCTTGCGTACTGTTTTATTTTTTTTAACTCAAGATAAAGCTGAACACGTTTCTAAAATTAAGATATAACAATGTTTTCCCTGTGTAAACTTATCTGTTTTCCATAGTTTAAAAATAAAAAACAGTTTTAATAGTTTTGGGTTGAGGGCGGAGGGGTTCCTAGACAATTGATATCAAGGGGAGTGGTGGTTTTACGGTAATGTTATATTACTTGGTGTGTTGGTGTATGAAAATGTCATATTTTTGTATAAAATTATATGTGCACTATGCTTATAAATAGCGAAGACGTAAACGTCTTTTTGTGTGTTTTTTTTTGTTCCGTGAGATTTTCATGTTACGGTTCTGTTTTTTAAAGTTAACTTCTGACAATCAAATGTGCTATATAATATAGTAAATATAGGCTACCATGCGACCCGCGACATCTAGTGATTTCCTCTATTGCTTCTCACATTCCAAAAAAATAGATTTTGTTTTTTACTAAGTGTAAACTTCAAATACATTGTTGTGCCATAATATTTCGAAAAAAGATTTGGTGACTTAAAGCTAGAACAAATAGGCTAAAAACTTTATGATTTTATCTTTTGTAAATTGTAAAGTGTGCTAGGTAACCCTATTGAGTCAAGTATTTCAACTATTCACTTGTTTATATACACGAAAAAAAATCGAATTACTTGTTTCAATGGTATTATATTTAAGAAATATTTGCATAATCTTTTTGAAATCCATATATATATATATATATATATATATATATATATATATATATATATATATATATATATATATATATATATATATTTGTGCGTGTGCCGTGTTTGCGTGAGTGAGGAAAATGACCATTAGATTAGCTAATTTATACATAATCCAGTAAAATTAAATTGAATTCACCTCAAGTGTTCAGCTGTACTTTTTCTTCTATTTATTGATTTTAATTAAACTACTTTGCATTATTTTACCGTCTCATCTTATTGTAAGCTCCTGTTGAAGCTTCATCAATGTCAGAGAACATCTATCAATGTTACACACTTGTTGTGTAAAATATATAACAGTCTTATTTGTATGTAGAAAACCAAAAACCAGATAGAAAAATGAAAAAGAAGTAACCTTGTAATTATTTATACTATTGGTTTTGAGTTCGAATTTTAGTGGTGGTTTTTTTTGTCATACTTTATTATTTAAAAACGAGAAAAATGGCCCGTTGAGGAAGGATACAACGGGCGCTAGGCTGATAGTGCTGTCTCTTTTCTCTAAACTAAAACCAACCCACCCCCCAACACACATCCCACCCCCCCACCCCCCACCCCCCACACACAACCCCCCCCCCACCCCCACCCCCCCCTCCCCCACCCCCCCACCCCCCACCCCCAAAAAAACATGTCTACCGTCCCATTCAACGAAATATAATTATATACTTTTTCCAGTGTCCGCCCCCTCCCCGAAAATTCTACCCCCGCCCCCGAAAATTTCAAGTACCCCCCACCCCTCTCCGGGGAGGAAAAAGTCTGAAAGAAACACTGGTGTCGCGCTTAGCCACTACCCGAAGAATTGCATTAAACAAATTGCAAGAAAACCACTTTTTAGATTAGACACATTAATTAGGCGGTAATTTTATTATAGAGTATCGATGAAGAAATTTCTTTTGAGTTGGGGAGGGGGGGGGGGGCTCAGACGTTCTTACGCGGGGGGTGGGGCTTCGCCCCTCCCCGAAGAATTGTATGAAAGAAACTCTTCACGCAAACCATTTAGATTAGACAAAATTTCCTTTTTATTCAATGTTTACTCGAGAATCAATGACGTCATATTACTGTGTGCACTCTCCATCTTGAGATTATTTTCTACTCTATGCTAAATGTGACCGCGTCATACTTCGTTTTTCGAATTACTGTGCATGTTTTTATTTTGCTTGTGTTTTCTCTACAGCGTTCTTGTCAGATAGATAGATACATAGACAGACAGCGAAACTATTAGTATTAATATTCAAAAGGTATCTTTGTCGTACACTCCACCCCCCCCTCCCCTCCGCTACTCATCGCACCTCACCCCCACCATCGTCTTTATGTTTTATTTACCTTGATTGGATGTATGTACAAAAAGCTGAACTTGAAGCGCTTTCTTCGGTCTATTTAAAAAAAAATCTAAATATTAAGGGGAAGCAAATACAAAAACCTGTATTAGAACTTAATTATTTCCCTTTCTGACTAATTTAAAAAAAATAAACACCAAGAAGGCTCAACTCTCTCAACTTCGGTTTACAAATTTCAAAAATAAAATAAAAATTGCAATAATCGTCAATTTAAGAAGTTTTACCCAAAACTGTCATTGTTTTCATAGATGCAATGAGAACAATTCTTGAAACAGTAGTGACACACTAACGAAGCAGCCCTTCTCATAAGCACGTTACAGTGAAAAGCACTTCAGACCCTCCCCCCCCCCCCACTATACATACCATCCACCCCTAATGACGAACGAACACCAACTATTTATTTAGCTGCAGATAAGTACGTGTGGAAAGGGTGGGGGGGGGGGGGGGTAGACCAGTGTTTCTTCCAGACTTTTTTCTCCGTGGGGCACTTGACATTTTTTTGGGGGGGGGGGGGGGGGCGGACACTGTTAAAAGTATATATTTTCTATATAAATTATCTAAATTTCATTTCGTTCGGGGGGGGGGGGGGGGGCGGTAGAATTTTTTCGAGGGGGGGGGGGGGAAGAGATGCCTGGAAGAAACTCTGGTAGACTTGATAGAAAAATTATTAGAATATTTTATCTTTATGCATGTGTAAAACATGGTAGATCATTATATAGTAGAACGTTATATAGTAGAACGTTATATGCAACATTCGAAATACATATTTTGTGTTTCGGGACCTGAGTATAAACTTTTGAAATACCTCACACCAAAATACGCGCACTCTACTTCATCTACTCTGCTGACACGAGAAGAATGCTTAAGTACGTATTTTATGCTTATGAGTTATACTATTTCGTTCCGGGAATGTGGAGAGGGCTGTGGATTTTATTCTGTAGGGGGGGGGGTGGAATTGAAAGAGACTGATTCACTCAACATTTCAACCCATCCGTACTGAGTTTGAGTATTTTTGACAGATGTATTGAATTTAAAATTAAAAAAAAACTTGCAAAAGATAAAAATGCAGGTTTTTTTTGTCTGCCACTGGTCTTATCAGCACTATCACCCCCACTCCCCTACCACCAACGCCCACCCCCGACTATCACCACACCACCTCTCTACTATCTGTCTCCTTATCAGCACCACCATTTGCCTCTCTGCTACTAGTATCAACAGACCATTACGCAAGTTCTGGTCTCTGAAGCTTCTAGTGGCCCTGCAGGACACAGTTCAGTTGAAACCAAAGGCCCACAACCCTGGTTGTAAATCATTGAGAGTGCTGTGGCGTTGATTGCTCGTTAAGTTTAGTACAAGAGGATTGGGTTTCAGTAGGGTACAGATCTACACTTTATTGGCTAGAGGTAACGTTGTATATACATGCTTGGTTGTCTATTTTATGCTTTATTTATTACGTGCAATTTTAAAAGGGCTGTACAGTTGGACATGTATGTATGAGTATATATATATATATATATATATATATATATATATATATATATATATATATATATATATATATTTACGTCTATATATTTGTAGTTTGTAATATATATATATATATATATATATATATATATATATATATATATATATATATATATATATATATATATATATATATATATGTATATATATATACATATATTGTCAATTATTTCACCTTCATTGCTTAATTAATTAAACTGCATCTGTAAAAACGTGCTGCTACTAAGTAGAGAGCATTTACCTTGAAATGTTACATATCTTATTACATTGTCTTTGACAAATGACTGCATTTTAAAAAAAAAATTACTAATCTAGAAGTATTGCTAGTTTTGCTAAACAAATATGAAATAAGTATTAGTTGTCAAGTTTTAATGATTGACTTTATGATCCTCCGTACATCCTTTCAAATACACAAAGTTAGTATTTGGTATTTGTATTATTTTAGTAATAGGTCAAAATATCGACTATCAAGCTATTATTTACTGCAAAATATTCGAGCTGTATCCCATAGTAAGGCCTACGTATCTCGGCCCATCCACTCTACAGTGGGCACCTGCCCAAAGCCTGGGGTAGTGAGCACGGATAGTAAGGGTGGGGA